GCCGGATCTTGAGTAACGACCAGGAGCGGACGTTTGATTCTGACCGTGCAAACTGCTCCAATGGGCGGCGAAAGCGTTGCCGCAATGCCCCCTCTCACCGGCCCCGATTGCCGTCTGCAGCGATGGGTTTTGCCGCACTGCCCTCTGCTGACGATTTACAGCCCACGGCAGCAGAGGTCGCAAACGGGTTTTGATTCCTTACCCGTACCCGGCCGCACCAGGGTCGCAAACGGGTATCGGGTGACTGATTGCGACCTCTGGGATGAAGCCATGTTGCAGGCGCGGGTGGGTTGATTCTAGGAACTTGAATTGTGAGAAGAGACAAGACGTTGGGAAATGAGTGTCAAACGGTGACTCACCAGTGAATCACGGCCTACCCGTACCCGGCCGCACCAGGGTATCGGGTAGGGTACTGGTATCGGGTACCCGATTGCGACCTCTGCACGGCAGCCAGCGGCGCCACGGGCTGGGCACGGCGGTCACCCAGTCCGGGCGCGACCGGCCAGGGGTCGTCAATCTTGCGGGCCAGGAGTCGCATGCGGCTCTTTAAGCACCGCTGCTTCGTGACGTTGTTTGTTTTTGTATTACTATTATTAAGGACAACCGTCTCGTATTTACCACGTGAATTGCGGCTCTTGAAATTTTAAGTTTTTTAGCCGAATTTGAAAGAAGAAAAAAATGACCTTGGCTGTTTTGGTTGTCGATCCCTCCGCTATCCAGGCACTATTCAGACACAAATCTGCTTAGCTTCCAAAATCTGACGTGAGCGGTTGCATTTCGGGTTGACAGCAACAGTGTATACTGCATAAATATTTATAATGCTGCGTTCTATAATTGCTCCGGTTTTCCTCCCATGTATATAAACGCTGATTCATTGGCTGATAACACCACAATATACAGAGGATCGCAGAGCTTGGGCAATTACTGGTGCTGGCTCACCGCGAAGTTGCCTTTCCCGCTTGTCTGCGGCTCCTCGAGAGTGAGCGAATGCTGTGTGCGTAACAAGCTGAAATCATTGTGCAGGTTAGGGAACCCGTTGTTCTGCAAACAAAAAATATTAACTGTCATTTTCAGACTCTTCTCATTATCCTATACTCGGAGCACTACAGGTTATTCGGATTCTTTTTCAATATACTACCATAACATGAATTGTGGTTTTGCAGAACAACGGGTTCCCTAACTTTTTTCAGGTATATATTCTCGAGAATTTAAAGAATATCTTGTGGCAAATAATGACTTGAATAGGAGCACACATTGCAGAGTTAGTGCAATTTTAAATGGTGTGTGCAAGTATTCTGTACCCGTTACTGCCATTCTTTGATTTTAGACATTCTATTTAATTTGTTGAATATATTAAATAGCGTATAAATCGTGCATGTATTGGCAAGATAGAGTAATTGAGAAGTTTGACAATCTAATACACTTTAAGTCAAGAGTTACTCAACATCTTTCATTATCAGATAAAAGTAAATGTGTATGCTGCATTGACATTTCTATTTTCCATTGCTTGTACCAATTGAATCGTCAATATATAAAATAAACTGCTGTATGTACTGCATCTGTTAGATATGGCATGGGATGCCAAGTCAGTGGGGGTGGGGGGTGGACTGCAGTCAACCAAGCAGGCCACTCCAATTCCGGGTACATTTTCAGGAAAATGGGCAGTAGAAATGGGCCTAAATTACCCCGCCAGCATTACATATACAATGAAGCAACCAAGAAGCCAACAACTCTAATCATGTTTTATTTGTTTTACCAATAACACGGCCGAAAGCGTGTTCTTTTAAGGCTTCCGTTACCCACACACACCCCGTGTCGCTACTAAGACGGCGTCCGGGTTTGTCGACAGGGGGTGACTTGCTACAGGAGCCCAGCCAGCAGGCAGCCAGGAAACTCGGGAGCATAGATTATTATTTTTTTAAGAGCGATGTGATGTGTGCTTTGAGAGGTTGCAATGCAGGTGTGGAAGTGCTACACAGGTAACAAAGCAAAGCAATCGACTTGAACACCCGATCACTGCGATGTGGCAGCAACGCCAACCAACAGAACAAAAACCCTTAATCTTCTTGGTTCTTTTGGTAAAGTCACGTAGAAGGGAAATAATGAAATAATAAAACATAATAAAATAATTCTCACGACGTTTCGGCCACACAACACAAGCAGCCGTCCTCAGGTGAAGAACAGGGCACTGTCTTTCCGACAGCCTGTTCTTCACCTGAGAACTTATTCTTCACCTGAGGACGGCTGCTTGCGTTGTGGCCGAAACGTCGTGATAATTATTTTATTATGTTTTATTTTTATTATTTTATTATTTCCCTTCTACGTGACTTTACCGAAAGAACCAAGAAGATGAATCCCTGCAGTCACGAAAGCTTTAAATCGAAAAACACCCTTCGATATTGGATGATCATTAAGTAGAGGACCCACACGAAACCACTGGCGGCGTGTAGGCAACTCCAGTCCATCGAGTCCAACGTCGTCACATTTATTCAGCAGCATCTTTGCGATGACTTCAGGGTCCTAACTTGAATGACACCAGTGGTTAAAACAAGTGCGCAGCTAAAAACGTGACTACATATCATGAATCACGGTACAGTATTTACAAAAACTTCACACATCTGGTTAACATATCTGGTTTAGTATTCACATTAAATCCGGTTAAAGCCGCTAAATCTCCTGCATGGCCAACGTCTCTCTATGCAGCTCCGTTTAAAAAGCTAAAAACAAACACCTCTATGAGTATCTCAATAACGTTGGTAAAACCAAAACATCTCGGCGATTTGAGACATTGTATCTGGGGTGTGCACGTTGTGAGTGGGGTGAATGTTGTGTGGGGCACGCATTGTCACGCTCGCGAATGTGATCATTAGTCACGCCACACAGCAGTCTTGAGACAGAAAAATAACCTCGATGTTTGCCAGCCAAAAGGTTCTGTATCTTCACAGTGCCTGATATAATCAGTCGTAAAAATCTGAATTTGCGTTTTTTGTATGACACTGAAACTACATTTCAAACTATAAAACTCTCCCTGGTTAAGGATCATCAGCACAGCCTAATCATCAATGATATCTTGTTGCAAACATCATTGTCGGTGGTTGCCAAAGAATTACCGAAACAAACATCGTCTCGATTTAAAGCTTTCGTGACTGCAGGGATTCATCTTCTTGGTTCTTTCGGTAAAGTCACATGTCTCCTCGGCAGACCTGTTCTCCACCTGAGGACGGCTACTTGCGTTGTTGCCGAAACGTCGTGAGAATTATTTTATTGGTTTATTTTTATTATTTTATTATTTCAGTTCTACGTGACTTTACCGAAAGAACCAAGAAGAAACATCGTCTCGTATCGCGCACTCGCCGTAAAATGACGACACTGATGGGGCATCCCTCGACTCACAAACCCTGCCTCTCCGTCCCCTCGACCTCAAGCCCTTCGAAACGAGGATTCGCACGTGCGCTCCGAAATGCGGCGGGTTCCTTAGGCTGTCCGACCCATTTCCTTCCTAACTTCTGCTGGTGCTGAGCCTACTCACCGGACGTCCAGTTGATGTCCGCTTATCATTTAGGGGCCGTCCATAAATGACGTCACGCGATTTTGGACGATTTTTGACCTCCCCCCCCGCTTCGTCACACGGCGTCACAAAAAGTCAAGACCCCCCCTCAAATATGACGTCACAAAGCTCTGCCCCCCCCCTCCCCAAAATAAAACATGCTTCAAATCGCTTTAAACTGCGTATTTAATGTGGCGCTGCACTGATGTTGTAGAAAACATGTATTAAAAAGTCTATGTAATTAAGTAGAACGTGTTGTCTATATTTATTTATTAAAGTTGCGCATTTTTACGTGACGTCACATTTCTCACCCCCCCCCCCCCCCTCGTCACACATCGTCACAAATGTCTGACCCCCCTCCCCCCCCAGGTGCGTGACGTCATTTATGGACGTCCCCTTACGTTGCTCCCATTTACGTTGCTTCACTGCAACGTCGCCGACGAATTCGGGGACGTAATTTGATGGGCAACGCATCGATTCAACCGCTACGTTGTTGGTGAAGATGTTTAACGAATGAACGCGCAGCCGTTTTGGCGGTGTACGTGACGGACGCACCACGGCTCCCATGGTGGGCGATGAATCATCGGTGTCTACGACGACATCGTCATGCCGTAACTCGACCAACACCAGGCTCTTAAATGCAATCTCTGCCACCCATCTGTGGCGAGCTACTGATTTACTTATTTAAACGTATTCTTGGTTCTTTCGGTAAAGTCACGTAGAAGGGAAATAATATAAATATAAAATAAAATTATCACGACGTTTCGACTGCAACACAAGCAATCATCCTCAGGTGTGAAATCCACAGCAGTCGAAACGTCGTGAGAATTGTTATTGTTTTATATTTTATTATTTATTATTTCCCTTCTACGTGACTTTACCGAAAAGAACCAAGAATATGAATCCCTGCAGTCACGAAAGCTTTAAATCCAAAAATGTATTCAAACGTGTTACACTTAATATCTTTTCTGAGTCGCATTGGCAGCGATGGAGCAGCTTAGCTGCAAGCCGAAGGGAAGATACAAGGGGGCATGGGAGGCGATGTGCACCCCATTTCTTGAGAAACCCCACAAAACACGAAGCACCTGCACGGAATGAGAAGATAAAATGATCGGTGAGCCGAGGGCTCGAGAGGAGGACCGGGCCATAGACACCAGAGGACTCTATTCTCAGTTGACTTCCTCCCAGAAAGGGGAAAAGGAAGAACCGGGCATCCTGGCAGTTATTTTTAGTCTCCTAATTCTTTATTTGGTTATCCCCCACCGCGTCCTCTTTCTCTCTCTCCCTCCTCGAATCCCCTCTCCCGACCTTTGACCCGACTGTTTGTAGGGAAGAGAAACGCTATGAACCCTAACCGGCTCCCACTAAGGGGATACTAATCATCCAGAGGGCTCGTCTTCCATCCACACGTTCACCCACTGTCGTGTTTGTGTTGCAGGGTTCAATAAAAAAACATTGTGAAAGTTTTTTTTAATTGTCAAAGACCCAACGCAGAATATCCCTGGGTTTGATCTTCCACGAAGCTCATGGTCTACCCGAAATCTCATCCACTGCACAAACCATGGCAGATGCAGACACCTGATGCACAAATAGAAAATGTAAAAGTCTCTAGTGGTGTGCGACTGTGGTCATCCAGAACGCACCCTACAACGAATAACGACGCAATGGCCCGATCCACAAATCCGGAGGAGCCATCACGGCGATGATGATACACTCCGCTGCTCCTGACTTGGTTATCTGCTTTGACCACCTGAATGTGTAATTGTCGTTGTTGGTCTGCATCTACATCAGCAGCCATACGAAAGAAAAATTGTAAAATACACATTTTACAAACATCTTTCTTCAGAGTCTTGTTATCTTTTCTGATACTTATTTAATATTTGTTTCTGCCAATGCCGACTAAAAAATGTAACCCCAGGAACGTATCCTAAAAGTATATAATTAAGTCAAGGTTAAATAGGTTTTGATACACGTTGTTTCGCCTCGTGTCGCGTTTTCCAGGGATGAGTCCCCAACGTAAATAGAGGACTTCAACGTATTTGAAATGTCTTGCTTATTAAATGCAAGGATGGCGTGCCCCAACTTGGCTATGAGTAACAGGTGAACGAAGATGAATGGAGCTCATCAGTGACTGTGCATCGCCAATTACTGAGAAAGTACATCACAAACGGAACTTCAAAGCGACCGAATCGACAAATAACACCAACATACCGTGCCATTTAGCTCTACAAAAAATATAAAATCTCGTGGTTGCTGTAAATTTAAACCCTATAACTTTCAGATAGTGTTGCGTTCCTATTGAGTCGTGACATAATGCTGCTGTATCATGGGTAAAACCCTAAATTGCTTCACCAACAGCAACATTGAGCTTACTTACACGGATCTGGTTTTGAATGAAATGCAGAGACCAAAGTTACATGGATTAAAATGCAATGGAAATTATGAATGATAAAATATGATTGTTAATAAAGTTAATTGCTTGTTCAATCAACTACACACACCCAGGTCAAAAAAGCAGTGCCTTTCTATCCTGGTAAGCTAAAGAATATTATTTGCAAGCATCGATTAAAGCCAGAAAAACCATCACCGGGAGATTGAGAGTGATCATTAAACTCAGCTGCTGTGTGTGTACCGGAGGTGGTGATGCCAAGACCTGGAAAAGTGGCTCAAGATGCCATGCCTGTCTGTAAGAAGTAATGCACTAAACCTCTGCTCTGTACAAAATGTAGAATTGCATATTTCACAATCTGGTCCTTTCATGAATATTTCCCACTATGTGAATGTTTACACGAGCACATCCAAAGTAATCGGGGGAAATCTCAATAAATGTTGAATTGATGACGCTTTCGGAAATCCTTGTACGTGCTGTGATAATAATGCAATTGCAGAAGTTAACACAGTTACATTCCACGAAGTATTGCCCAAGCTATTTTTTCTCGTGCCCTGTGACTACGTCCACTGGCACTGCTTCTACGCTGCTTGGACACGAAACTGCCAAGTTCAACACTGGCAGGAGTGTGTGGCACTTGTGTGTTTATTCATTTTTTTTATATGCTGACCAATGACACCCGAGACCCGTTACCCACTGAGTGCGAATTCTGCGCAAGGCTTTACTAACTGGAAGGAAACTCAAACGAGTATTCTCTCCAAACGTGACTGTCACTGTCAACGCCGACAATGAAAAGGGCATCAAAGGTGAAGATGTCATCCTTGGCAATATGGGGACAGGCACTCTATTCAAAGATATTTGACACGAGCCGAACACAATCGGACACAACCCCTTAACCACATGACCTGATCAATGGGAAAGCATCCGATATCGTCATATCCCAAAGGCTAAGTAGGCTGGAGCCTGGATAGTGCTTGGATAGATGGCCTTCATGCAGAATAGGTTACTGGAGACTCTGGGACTACATGGCGGTAAGCAGAAGGCATTCTACAAACATCCATGGTTGGATCAGATCCTAACATTACTCTAACCACCAGTCCTACCCCTAGCACTATCCCGAAACGCAATCCAAATCCTGGTGCTTCGCTCCATCCGTTCTCTCCTCTCGGCGTTGTGTTGTTCCCGCTGAGCGCGAGGCTAAGCGGGCGTCCGTGCCACGATCCAAGCCTCAATCTCCTCCAAGACGGTGGCGGCGCACTCCGGGATCTCCTTGTGCAGCGCGTGGTACGCGCCCTCGTAGATCTGCAACAACCCCACCCACACCGCACAGACGCAGCAGACGCGAGCTAGGTTACTCTTCTCCCGTGAACTTCACTCGTTCATTCCTCCCACCGTGGTTGCGGACCCGGTCCACCGGTCTGCTTTGTCTCGTTCATACTGTATCCTGTCACCACACAGCAGGCCACAACACGGATTCTCTTTACTCCTCTTTCCCTCGCACTGCACGGCTTTGGAATGCCCCTCTCCCATCGTCTCTTTTCTCCAAATTCGTATAGCCGTGGATCAATTGAAGAAATGTGTTAACTGTCATCGATTACAACTGCAATCAGTGCTGCTTGTTGCTGGCCGCTTGGCATTTTGGGCCTGTGCCCAGAAACCTGCGATAACAACAACAGCACCCAGGAGGGCTGGCGGCGTTTGCGCGATCTCGCACCCAAACTCACCGTCAAGACACAAACTCAATTCTTTGATTCACCACTTTCATTGATGATGGAATATTCTCCCATAAAGGATGGTGCCCAATTGACCGATTTGCGTTACAAAGATGCTTCGGCGTGGCTGGAAAGCTGAAATCTGGCGCAAACGTAAATCGAGTCGATGCCTAGAACTCGATATTTTAATTTGGCCCTCCCCCAAACATTACGGCGCAACAGTTGATTGGTGTAATTCATGGGGCAGACTTAACCTGAAGTCTCATGCTAAACACTAAACCATTATACAATCACTGTTAACGGTGAATTAAGTCAATTTGTCTCTCACGTAATGTGACACTAAAAACTATATAGTGAGCCCACCGCCGCTTCCTGGTGCTGTATCACAATGAACCCATCGAGAGCCTACTCAGATTGGTGAATTATAATCATGCACGATTTACCCAGGAATGTCTCGCCGAGGCTCATGACTCTCAGGATGGGTCGTGATTGGGATTGTTTTGGGAAAGTCCACATTGAACATGTTTACACGTGGGAGGAATCTGGCATGATAGTCGGGAACCCGAACCAGTGCGGAGCCCTCACGGAATGGATGCTTTTCCACTGGGTTTTTTTGCCAAGCAGAGCCAGAAAAAAATCCGAAATATGCTGGCGCAAAGGAGGGCCCAATCGTTGCACACAAAGTGCTCGTCACAAATGAACTCGTCAAGGAGCATAAACCATCACACGAACTCCGGTCATCCTCGCAACGGCGGCTTTTGGCTAGCCATCGAACAAAGGACAGGCACTGCATCGTGCGCTTTCAGATGCGCTTCTGCGGCCGTCTGGAACGCTCTTCCGATATTAAGAAGCCACTGGAGCTATGCACTTTTGAATCTAAATTGAAAACTCTTTTCTTTAGAACTGCTTTTCGTGTTTCGTTTTGTTGTCCTTCCCCCGCAACACCCGATCAGCGCGGTTGGCTACGTACGGCGAGGAAGAAGTTCAACACACGTAGAGGACTGATGATGCGTTCATTGCATGCGACGTCAATCAGTGCACTGTGAGCTCATGGCATCACTGCGTCATCTACATGCACCTCGACTCGTTAATTTTGTGCGAAGTTAGTGGCACGGCTCGACCTTTGCATATTAAAAGTAAACTAAACAATTTTTATCTGACCAGAAGCGACCTGGCCACAAATGACAGCTCAACAAAGTGGCTTATCGCGTGGGAATTTATAGCAGCCAAAAAATCGAAACAACAATCTGGCGCCTCCTGGGCTCGGCACGGCCCCGGGCATGGCTCGGTTGTGCAGTGGAAAAAAGACGCATTTGGAGGAGTCCCCGGGGTTTGTCTTCTCCACCGCGCGTGGGGGCCTCGAGGGCGCTAGCTCACGTGCAGCGTCTTGTCGGCGCTGCGAGCGCGCTCGTGAAAGGACCTGGAGCCGCCCACGAAGCACAGCTGGTCCTGGTCGCCGTGCACCAGCAGGAACGGCCACGTCACATCCGGTAGCAGCGCCTCGACGCGCGCCACCGCGTCCATGAGCGTGGAGAGGAAGCGCACGGACAGCCCGGCGTGGTACACCAGCGGGTCCGACTCGAAGAGCTCCACCTGCAGCACACGGCGACGCGTTCAGGTGCGCGTGCGGCTGTGTGTGCGGGTGTGTGTGTCGACTCGGCCTCAAATGAGTATCTGGTGCGGTGTGAAAACATCACCACTGGGTCTATAACGGTGAACTAGAGTTGTCGATTTTTTTAGGTGTTGCTGTGCGGTCGTGCGTTTCTATGGATGAACGAGAGTTGTGGTTGTTTTAGGCGATGCTGTGCGGTCGTGCGTCTGTACGGATGAACGAGAGTTGTGATTGTTTTAGGCGATGCTGTGATGTCGTGCGTCTGTACGGATGAACGAGAGTTGTGGTTGTTTTAGGCGATGTTGTGCGGTCATGGGTCTGTACGGATGAACGAGAGTTGTGATTGTTTTAGGCGATGTTGTGCGGTCATGGGTCTGTACGGATGAACGAGAGTTGTGGTTGTTTAGGCGATGCTGTGCGGTCGTGCGTCTGTACGGATGAACGAGAGTTGTGGTTGTTTTAGGCGATGCTGTGATGTCGTGCGTCTGTACGGATGAACGAGAGTTGTGGTTGTTTTAGGCGATGTTGTGCGGTCATGGGTCTGTATGGATGAACGAGAGTTGTGGTTGTTTTAGGCGATGTTGTGATGTCGTGCGTCTGTACGGATGAACGAGAGTTGTGGTTGTTTTAGGCGATGCTGTGATGTCGTGCGTCTGTACGGATGAACGAGAGTTGTGGTTGTTTTAGGCGATGCTGTGATGTCGTGCGTCTGTATGGATGAACGAGAGTTGTGGTTGTTTTAGGCGATGCTGTGATGTCGTGCTGTCTGTACGGATGAACGAGAGTTGTGGTTGTTTTAGGCGATGTTATGCGGTCATGGGTCTGTACGGATGAACGAGAGTTGTGGTTTTCTTGGGCTATGCTGTAAGGTGGTGCTTGTAGATGCTGATGCGAGTCGCTTCAACCTCCGCCTTGTTGCGCGTCACCGAGGCGGCTTCGATGGAGGCCAAAGTGAGGCTGGGCAGCAGGTACTTGAAGATCTTCATCAGAAAGATCTGGGGAGCAAGGGCAGGCATACGGACACATGGCTCAGAGAACAAATCACAGATATCACTGCTAAACCCAAAATTAAGCTTGGAGAGCTGAATGGGGTTAAAAAGAACTTACTGAATGACCCAATGCAAAATATCCCTGGGTTTGATCTTCCATGAAGCTCATGGTCCAGCCTAATTCGCATCCACACAAACCATAGCAGATGCGGATACCTGATGCACAAATGTAAAACTCTCCAGCGGTGTGCGACTGTGGTCATCCAGAACAGACCGTGCAGCGTGTGACGATGCAATGCCCCCATCCACAAAAACGAAGGAGACATCACGGCGATGATGCTCCACTGCCGCCGACGCGGTCATCTGGCTTGACCGCCTGCATGTGAAATCGCAGTCGTCGCTCTGCGTCTGCGTCAGCCGCACGCAAGAGGAAGACTGTGACTGTCGAGAAGAGTCAAGGGTGCTCGTGCGAAATACACCGCCGCTAGCCGCTGGAAGTGGTGACGGCCGACGGACGAGACTGGCGGCAGAGTGGCGGGCAACGTTGATGCACGACACTGGTGGTGGTGGTGGAGTGGCAGCCGGGGGGGGGGGTCATGCAGGAGAGGGCGCCCACCGCGGAGATGGAGCCATGAGCTCAGCCCATGTACAAAGTCTCACGCTGTCCGTCTTGCGCGCAGCAGCAGATCTCGTCATGTGACTGCCGAGCTGATATGTGATTCGCGTGCTGCCGATGATCGCCGGGCTTTTGTCGCAGCAGCAGCAGCAGCAGCAAATCTACTGGACGAATGGCGTGTGTTGTTTACAAGCTGCTACACTCCTGCGAGTCTGCCTCACAACAGCACAACATCACCGCCGAGCCGTTTTGCGACTTCTTTTCCCACAAAGGGTGACGCGTCCTGCGGGACAGCACGGCCGCGACTGGCTCATCAGTTGACGGCGCCTCTAACCCGACACTCCTCAAACAGCACCGACGCCGGGTACATTCGCACACCCACGTCCGCGGAAGGGGTCCGGAAGAACATCGACGGACTGCAGATGGCGGACCAATTCTCTGGATAGTTTTGTGACCGCGCTGCTGAAGGTCTGCGAAGAGGAAGTGTACATTACGCTTCCGCGCCCGGTCAAACGTATCTTTCAGCCCCAGCACTTTCCCGTCCATTTTGAAGAAGTGCCCGATCCCTCCGCTCCTTAAGACGTTGCAAATTATCGGCCTCCCTCCGATCTCTTCGCAAACTCAAAATGAATTGAGCGGGCTCGTGCTGGGACGGCTACGACCGCATGGAACCGGCCCGATAGCCTTCAGGCCTATCCAGGGAGCAAACCGAGCCCTCCACTCCACCGAGACCACAGGACGATTGTCAATCCCTCAATTGGCGGCAGCACTTTTCGGACTGGACATTTCGGCTGCTTTTGACACCGTCGGTCACCGTGTCCTTCCTGCACTGCCTGCAGACAAACCTTGGGATCGGTTGACGACGCCGTTCGCTGGATGGAATCTCACCTGACCGGCCGTTTTGGCTTCGTCAAACACAGATAAGGCACGACCAGCATCGTCCCGTCTCTGTCCTTGGCTCTATACAGAGTTTCGGTGAATCCGTACCGTCGATATGCTGATGACACCCAGCTCCACGTCCCTTTGGAAACGTCTGCTCCTGTTACAATAAACGTGCTCCCAGAATGCACATCGGCTCTCCAACACTGGCTGATGCTAAGCAACTCAAACCCTCAGAGTTCGAGGCCGTGATTCTTGCAACTCGTCAGAAGTTACGACATCTGAACGTGCCGGTTTCCATCGTCGTGGTGGGCAGTTCGATAAAACACTTAGCAAATCTGAAGTTACTGGGTATCAGACTCGACACACATTCCACCTTCGAATCACGCATCAGCGAGTTAATCTGGCCATGCACTTACCGCACCTGTCGCACATGCGCTCGCATGTAGTGCGGTTTCCGCGTGCGTCGACTAACGCAACTCTCTCGTGTACGGAGTAAACAATCGCCTTGGCGAACGTCTCCAGATTCTCCAAAACACCCTCCTCGCCAGAGTCGTTTGCCTGGCCCCTACCTCTTGTGAGATCTTCAATACTTGATCATTGATAATTGGTTTTTTACCCTTCTATCTGGCAACAAAACTGACACCTTTTTTACAAGGAGTCATGTTTGCATAGACCACAATACCTGCAGTCATAATGCAAACAAAAAACATAACTCTGATAATGTATGCACTGTCCTTGAAGTTGATTGGTCCACACCCGAGACAGCTTTCCTTAGAGCCTAGTCTCACATGGGTTGGACCAGATGACGTTTTTTGTTTGCATTATGACTGCAGGTATTGTGGTCTATGCAAACATGACTCCTTGTAAAAAAGGCATCAGTTTTGTTGCCAGATAGAAGGGTAAAAACACAATTATCATATTTTTTACTGGCAAATGAGGTTCCAATGGTCTTCAATACTTCTGCAGGAGCTGCACTGGTCTCCAGCGCATACGGGTGCTCGGTTCAACCAACCTACCCGAGCGAAGCCGTCCACCCGTACGTACCACCACGAAACCTACGGTCCTCTGGTATGGACCTGCTGCTTTGTGTGAAATCCACTTGGGTTCGGACAGCAGAACGGAGAGTTGTTTATCTGCAGCCCCAGTGGTCGGGAACGGTCTGCCGACTGAAGTCTGGTCAGCCGTGACAACCGGTGCTTTTGAGACGTAGACAAAAAGAAAACTTCTCTTCTGTTCAGTTTAATTTTAGTTTTATTTTCTCAGTGCCACTGGCACTTCCCTCGGAGGTGTTTGTGCCGCGTGCGGCGCGTTATAGATCTGGGGATTGATTGACGGCGCACCTTGAACGGGGAGACGACGTCCGGGTTGCCTTCGATGAGAGGGCCGATGAGCACCACCCCAGCCACCTTGTCCGACCTCTCGCTCGCCGCCAGGATAGAGATGGCACCACCCTGTACGGGCACGCACACACACACACAGGATTTTGTGTAGCGCTTTTGTTAAGGGGCCGTCCATAAATGACGTCACGCGATTTTGGACGATTTTTTGACTCCCCCCCCCCCCTCGTCACACGGCGTCACAACAAGTCAGACCCCCCCCCCCCCCCAAAAAAAAAATGCTTCAAATCGCTTTAAACTATTGTCATTGTAGTGCGTATTTAATGTGGCGCTGCACTCTGATGTTGTCGGAGAATACATTTATCAAAAAGTCTATTTAATTAAGTAGAACGTGTTGTCTATATTTATTTAAAGTTGCGCATTTTGATGCGACGTCACATTTATCAACCCCCCCCCCCCCTCGTCACACATCGTCACAAATGTCTGACCCCCCCCCTCCCCCAGGTGTGTGACGTAATTTATGGACGGCCCCTAACGCGCTTTACAAGCAGTATAAATTGTGCATTAGTGTTGGTTGATGGGGAAAAGGGATGGGGTTTGAGTGTTGTGGAGGGGAAGGGATGGCAAGGGAGTGTGATGACAGGGAAAGGGAGGGGCGAGGTTAGGAAGGAGCAGGATGGTTCAGTTTACGGACGCGGACAGGAAGTAGTAGAGAGATACAAATGCAATACAGACTGGATTTACGATGCAATGTGGAATTATGAAGCCTCAAAATGAAACTGGATCACAAGACGCTGTAGAGAAACAACGGGACGTCCATCACAAGAAAAGTATGCAGTTGTTTATGCATCGCATGAAGAATATATTGTCGTAGCACACACAAATGCACGCGGAATTGTCAATTCACTGCTTGATGAAATCCTTCGAATACCATACGGCTCACGGGTTTTACTCAACTAGACTTCACCACGCTGGTCAGTGTGAGTTGGTGAAGATGAGGAGCACAGACATTTGAGAGCATAGCACAGCACAACAATGGATTTTTCTGCAGAGCCATCTGCTGAAAGTATAAACCGCGGCAGCAGGCTGCACCACCTGTGTTATGAGCGGTATTATGAGCGGTGTTCTTCCGTGCAAGTTGTTATCCAGACTCAACCCGGCTTAGCTTTCAAAATCTGCCGAAATTGGGCGCATTCCGGGTGACGTGGTCATAGGTGTAACGTTTGCAGAAGGTGATATATAAAGTTCACGTCACAAAAGGTCTCATCTTCTTGGTTCTTTCGGTAAAGTCACGTAGAAGGGAAATAATAAAGTAATAAAAATAATACATTAATAAAATAATTTTTATTTTATTTTATTATTTCCCTTCTACGTGACTTCACCGAAAGAACCAAGAAGATGAATCCCTGCAGTCACGAAAGCTTTAAATCGAAAATGTCTCATGTGTAGCTATTCCACTCGAAAAATCACTCCGGCGATCCGTCCCAACAATTTCATTGGAGACGTGGCTATTTCATTTTGATAAAAACGCGGCCTCCCTCTGCAAAAGTCTCCCTCCTCTTGCTGCACTGCAGGGGAGCTGTGGACACGAATTGCCGTCGTACGACCGCCTGCTGCCCCGTTTGCAGCCCGGTGTGTTCCGAGGAAGCCCTCGCGCACCATGGAGTGTCCGAGCAGGAAGATGGGCACATCCGGGTAGCGCTTGCAGATCAGATCGAAATGCTGCAGGGTGTCTCGCACAAACACCTGGAAGTCGGACACCTGCATCCGCGGCCCCTCGCTCTGCCCGTGCCCCACTGGGGGAGGAGACAAGGTGGGGGGGGGGGAGAAGGGAAAAGGGCGCGTGAGGTTACACTCACTCCTACGCTCTTTCGTCACCGTGGCTTCAGGAGGAACGAAGCAGACGCAGAAAAACCGGAGTGCGCCGATGTGATCGCTAAAAGGATCACATGAGCAAGCAAGCACACAATTACATTAGTTTTTAAGAGGCCCAAGTGTGGTTTACAGTGTGAGAATTAATATGAATTTCCAATAAATATTCATGTTTTTGGGACCGTCACATTCAGGATGTTTCTCGTGACACGGGCACACATTTGTCGAACTCTTGAAAATTATATCACATAACTTTCGGGGTTTAAAAATTTGGTTTTGTGCTGACCACAACGTTGCCTGGGCAGTGGACACCCTTCTAGAAACGAAATAACAGAAAATCATGAACATTGCACTGTAATCTGCGTATAACAATGCTACTTGTCCGTTTTATGCCAATACATCATCACTGGCCAATCGCAGCATTCCCCACCGTGGTCTGTTATTTATGGAGGTCACCTGAGCTACAATGCATGCCCTTGATTGGCCAGATTCAAATTTCCCGCCAAACGCTAGACCAATCCGCGTGCTCAGTTCTGGCGCGTGGGGCTGGCAGCGAAAGGGGACTGCTATAAAGTGAGAAGCGTCAAGGGTTGGTGTGACATTGAGCGCGTAGTGAGTGTGAGTCCCTGGTGAGTGTCGGGTGAGTGGTGGGTGTTTGATGAGTTGATGGATGGTGTCAGGTGAGTGGTAAATGTATGACAAGGGTCAGAGGTGTCATGTGGCTGTCACGTCTGTAGAACAGGCTGCCCTCTATTCACAGTTTACATTGTCATCATTAAATATGTACACCATACACTTCTATAAATAAAAGGATAATTCTTCGAAATAACTATTAATCAAAGCAGCTCTAACATAGAATATCTGGCAAAATTAAGAATATGATGATAGGAGGATGTGGTGGCATCTACAGCAATGGCCATGAAAACGGACTTTGACAGATGACTCGTAATAACTTGTCTCGTAAACAAGAATTCAGATGTTATTGTCCACAGTAAGTGACCCTGAAGTCATCTGCATCAATCACACTCAGGGCTAAGATTTCACAAATGGTCAGAATGTCCCAGTAAGCATGGAACGTTGGGTCAACGTTTTTCCCAACAATTCAAAACGCATGTCAACGTTGATCCAACGTTGGCATGCTTTTTGCTGGTGCTGCGGATCATGCGAGCATGCCAAACCACGCTCGCGGTTTCAATTTGAGTCACGAGCCGTAATATATCAGAGTACTCTCCGGTTGCCCCAAGCACTTTCGCCGAATTACGTCCTGTGTGTTTGTAAATATGTAAATACCGTCCTGTCATGCAATGTGCAACGAGGCAGCTCATGTAGCCGTGACTGCGTATGTAACCTATGCTCTGCTTTGCAGCAATCTGAACGTAGATGTATGCGTGTGCTACGGGTGAAATGGATGTCCGTTATGTTTGTGAGTTCATTGGGGGGGTGGGGGGGGAGCAAATTCACAGACGGTGGCGACTAATTTAGGCGGCCCAGCAAGTAGGTCCAGGTGAGGCACCACCTACCGTGGAGATGAGTATTTAAAGCGGACATGGGACAGCGCTTAAAAGGGACGATGAAAACAGCCCACGTCAGCGTATGCGGTGGCGTCAAGGAGACAACAACGACACCGCAGCCAGGGCAGGGAGTTGAACCCAGCTTCCTCGAGGTCGGACGTGGCGAGGCGAATGTTGGGGCAAGGTAATTAGGCCGATCTGCGTAGTTTTATTTTGTTACCAGCGGTCGAGTCCGGGTGAGGCCTGCAGGCTAGAACTGGAGGAGCGTGGTGGGGGAGACGAGCCAGGGAGCTGAGAATTGAGGAAGAGTACGTAACCACTTCTGCTTCAAACTGCTGTGTGGTGGCGCTGTTAGTGCTGCTGTAGGGGAGTGCTGTTCACTAGGTGAGCGTGAAAAAGTGGTCGCTGTAGCATACTGGATTAAGGGGGGGGGGGGGTATGCTGTAGTGAATGGCTGGAGGGTGGCCACGAGTGTGTACCTGTGTGTGACCCTGACCAGAACCTGAAGGAACGAATTCTCTGGGTGCTCGTTTTCCTATGCTTGGTCAAGGGTACAGCGAAACTATTTCTGCGTGTGACGGTTTTGCGTAGGGACGCGCGCGGTGTGTTGGTGTGTTGGTGTGTAATAGTGCAAAGCACGATGCCTCCTTCTTGGGAGGATGTGGGCCGTGACCACTTGACCCCACCTCCCTTAAACCCGGTGAACCTAAATGTGTTTAGACCCTTTTGTACTGCCTCGGCCTTGGTCTGTGATTGCCCGCGAAGTACAGACGAGCATGTCATGCTCTACCGTGCCTTGGTGGACTCCTTTTGTGTAGTGACGCCTTTTAATTGATAACCCACCGTCACAGTATTTACGTTGAACATCTTTCACAAAACGTAAGCAACCCCGCTAATCGGCGGTATGGGGGAAGGACCACAAAACTGAACACAAGACCGTTCTAAAGAAAAATGAGTTTTCAATCTCGACTTGAAAGTGCACAGCTCCAGTGGATTCCAAAATATCGGAAGAGTGAATTATTAGACGGCCGCAGAAGCGAATATGAAAGCACGTGCGAAGCGGTGTGCCCAACTGCGGTCATACTAAGCATGCATGTGCAAGCGTGCGTTAACAAGTGCACTTTACACAAGTACACAAATACAAACAAAGACACCCATTTTTTCGATTTAAAGCTTTCGTGACTGCAGGGATTCATCTTCTTGGTTCTTTCGGTAAAGTCACGTAGAAGGGAAATAATAAAATAATAAAAATAAAACATTATAAAATAATTCTCACCACGTTTCGGCCACAACGCAAGCAGCCGTCATCAGGTGAAGAACAGGTCTGTCGGAAAGACAGCATTAAATGTTTCATGCTGTCTTTCCGACACACCTGTTCTTCACCTGAGGACGGCTGCTTGCGTTGTGGCCTAAACGTCGTGAAAATAATTGTATTATGTTTTATTTTTATTATTTTATTATTTCCCTTCTACGTGACTTTACCGAAAGAACCAAGAAGATGACACCCTTTTTAATACGTTCATAGCCTGTAGGGTTAAGTGCTATTAGTGGCCTAGCCCTTTTGTTGACCCATTGTTCATTATGCTTGTTGACCTGGGAAAGCGTTGCCGATGATCAAGGCTCTTCAGAAGGGGGCATGCTGCTGCGTGTAAATCCCAACTGGGTAACTTGCAGGCAAGTTTTCAGCATTGGTTGGCCAATATCAGTAATGTTACGAGTTTATTCAGCTTGTTGGCTTCAAGTGAGACTGCGTCGTGGATTTGCCACCCACAACTATCCAATACTCTCTCTCCTCGTTGTTGCTTTTCGTTGGAGATATAAATAAAATGTTATTCATAGACCCCCCTTTGAGGTACACAGCAGGAGGTGGTGTGACCAGCACCCCATCCGACTCCTCGTCTCTCTGCACCTTCTCACATTTTGCGAATTGCACCTGGTGCAGTGCTCATTTCAGGCTGAATCGACCTAGGAGTGGCCCATGATCAGTTAAGATATTGATGTTGGCCACGGGGGGCAAATTGATCTCGAGTTATCGCTTTGTAGCACAGAGCTCTTAACTGCAACAGCTCCTCACACACGCGCATATAGTTCAAGTTCATTTATTTGGTATAGCCCTGTGAGCCATTCGGCTCTTGAATCGGGTGCAACCGCAACAAACAAAAAACAAAAACATGAACAAGAAAACATCTTAAAGTGACTATGTGATTCAGTCAAGACAGAAAACCAAGAAAAGACAACAAAATATTGCAGAAAAAGCACCGTACACCAACGCTGTGTGAAAAAATCCCAGTGGGATGCAAGTCAAACAACAACAACCACAAGACAACTTAGATTAAGGCCATCAGTCTCACTCCGTACTACAACAAACAAACATGGCCAAACCGGTAAACTTTTCGAAATCACCAAAATAAAGCAATGAAACAGTGATCATAGTTAGACACAAGATGGCAAAATCAACCCATCGCAGAGACGTTTCCCCCTTTTTAGACCGGGCAATTTTGCTTTAAGCAAACGCCCTCTTATTAAATTACCGGGCACATGCCCAGATGGTCCAAGTCATCTGGCAACAGCGGTTTTAACTGTCGGACTCAAAAACATTGAGGTCGGGGCAATGCTGCCCCACAGCGCGACTTGGCTGGGTTTCCACAACATTTACGTGTTTGTTTAATCCACTGCTGAATGGAGGGCAAGCCTCCCTGAGCTGTTTTGAGTCGTGAGAATTTACTTTACCATCTTCTTGGCTCTTTCGGTAAAGTCATCACGTAGAAGGGAAATAATAAAAGAATAAAAATAAAACATAATTAAATACAATTCTCACGACGTTTCGGCCACAACGCAAGCAGCCGTCCTCAGGTGAAGAACAGGGCTGTCGGAAAGACAGCGTCTGAATGAACACCACCAAGCTTGGCAGCGTATATTTAAGCTGGGTTAGAGGGGGAAGGGCGCCTTGACAAATGAATTTGCATATCAACAGATGAATTTAGCATATTTGTGGAAAATGCAGATATGGGATTGGTCACTACTTGTGGAATGTGTAGGAGGTGGGGGGGGGGGTCTCAAAGTCATATTATGCCCGTGCATTATGTAGGATTAGCAGCAACAAAGGGAGGGAGTAGGGTTAGCAGTAATAAGGGGAAGGAATTTTAATAGTAAGGAGCTGCAGCAGCCAAACCACCACGTAAAAAACTAAAATATAAACTACATCAATATCATCAATATACTAAATATACTCTCCAATAAGCTGAGCTACTCCACGCAGGTCAGTGCAGTCTGCTAATAATGTCCACGTGGCATAGAAGCCAGGGCGTAGTTACAGTGCGATGGATTTTCCCAAATGTATTTTATTTGACCAGGTAAGGTATTTTCCAGAAGTGACTTACGTGGGAATTATCGCAGCCAAATACTCGAAACCCGTGTTTATAAATGGGGAGGGGGTGGGGGTAACAGCGGAGGACCTGGAGAGAAATCTACGTGATCACATGGAGAACATGCAAACTCCACCTCCTGTATACCAGGCAATGTTGACGTACTCTTTGGTTTTTTCGGTAAAGTCACGTAGGTAAAACAATAAATAAAATAGAAAATAAAAATAAAATAAAACTAAATAAATTTAGTTGAAAACAGCTAAATTTATTTAGTTGAAAACAACTAAATTAATTTAGTTTTCATTTTTTTTTCATAAAAATGAAAACAACTAAATTTATTTAGTTGAAAACATTTTTTTATTTTTTATTTTATTTTTTATTTATTGTTTTACCTACGTGACTTTACCGTAAAAGCCAAAGAGTATGAATCATTGCAGTCACGAAAGCTTCAAATCTAGAATTAATGTTGACATACTAAACTATCCCCTGCTGACAACACAGCTCCACGGACTATAACGCCCGTTTCATGCATGGCAGTCGCCCATCCAAGCAGTATCTAGGCTCAAACTCCGTTTTTAGTTTCTAAACAATTGATAAGATCGGGTGTCTGGGTCATAAGCCAAACGCAGCACAGAGCCAAATAATTACATTTTGTACATTCGCATTGACCGAAGCATAACTTCATTAACGAGTTGCCATGCCCTTCCTAGCGCTGGTGTAAATCAATGAAGGGAAGCGAGCCTAATGGATCTTTAGAAATGCACAACGCTCATAATTCAAGAGGAATATGCGTTCACAGGAAATTGGATGTCATCTGAAACATGTTTTCAAAATTGAGTTGAGAGTTTTTTTTAAAAAAGGGATCATGTTTTTTGATAACGAGAAATTATCTGTTTTGTAACAAATATATTTTATTTTGCCGCTCCCCCCCCCCCCAACAATTCGAACCCACGATCTCAGCGGCAGTAGCTTTGTGCTCAATTGCATTGAGCCACACCCGAGATAGAGACGCACAAAGACAAAGCTCCCCCGTATAGCCTGAACGGACGATCGGGTCCAGTGCTGTTAGCGAGCACCTAATGAAGGCCGGCACGACACGCAAGGGGTGAATGGCCAACACCACGCCCAGCCACCTTTGTCCCCAAAGCGGCGATGTTTACACACCGCACCAGGCACTCATCAGGTAATCTTCACCTGCTGTTGGGAATTGAACTCTGGGATGCCGGGTTCGTAGCGCAGCGTGCTAACCGTCTCACTTTTTTGTAACAAGACGCGCACACACCCGCGATTCGCCACTAAGTGGCGGCGACGTCACCACGGCGCCTGTGCCAGGCTAGGTGCACGTTAAGGCCACGTGAAGTGTCGAACGCCCGCTGGCGGGAGGTCATGGGACAGACCCAGGTGCCCACGTCATTGTAACGTGCGCGGAAAACAATCGATTGGCCACGCGCAAGAAGACGCGCACAACGCACTCGCAGGCCAACGCGAGCACGATTTCTGCGACGTGGACTTTGCATCGCACCGTAATTGCATAACGTTGAACTGTATTGTTGAAATCCCGTTACCGTTTCTACCCCGAGGGGACATTCGCTCAAAGCATTCACCTATTACACAGTACAAAATTGATTGAATTGACCGACATGGAGATGTAACTTCTTGGAGGCAATTCTTTAATTAAACACCGAGCACACTTTGTACACTTTATACAATACACCCTACACTGCTACACTCTCTGTCTCTCGCCTGTACGCAACTCTACACTGGTTGCTAGCCTACACACAACGCTAGCCGTCTGACACTGACGGAGCTGAACTAAGACAGGCAACTCCGTCTAGCAGCGCAGTTATCAAGTGGAGACGACAGCGACGATGGTGACGATCTTCAGCAGTGACGACGACGATGTGGATCCCACTCCAAACGACAGCCCCTTTCATTCTCCCAGCGTGGCCTCGCTCTGCCCTGGCCACGCCCCCTTTCTAGAACCTACCAGCGGGTTCCCAACGTGTCCCTTCCCTAACCTTTCCCCGAGATCCCTCTCGGGTCTATCACGTGGCCTGCTGACGTCAGGGCTGCTTCAAGCTGCAGATCCCCTTCCCTGCCAGCAGCCAGCGCTATGCTAAGTAGTGACCAATTCTATGTCACTATAATTGCAAAATAATTTATATTTATATACGGGACTTTAGTATGAAACGGTGTGCGGATTTACAGCTACGGAGAGTGCCAACTGGATCATAGATCACCTCGGCAGAAAACCAACTCGGATTCAGAGAGTTATGCCTGGTAAGCTTGACGGAGCCTACATGATCACCTGCTGTGGGAAGACTAGTGGAAATGTTTTTATTTAGCAAGGAGAGATTTATACTTCTATAAAAAAGTTGTTCAAATGTGTTGGCTAATATTGTACAGGACAGCCTGTCCTACAGACAGGGTGACATGATGCCCTCAACAGACACCTGACCCTCGCTGGATAAGATTCGCCAGACATCCACCACGCCTCGGATACCATTAAACCAGACGATCACACTCATCCACCAGTCACTCACTCACCAGAAAATAACACTTTACACCACTCGCCAGACACCCACCACACCAGACACAGCACTTTTACTCACTCGTCAGGACACTTAACAGACACACCTCCTGATCAATACCTGCAGACACACACTCACCACGAACACATAGCCATGGGGCAATAACCACTCGCACACCTGACCCTTGCATCAGACACATAGACACTACTCGCAGACACGCACCACTCTCACTGGGACACTTGTACAATAACGGAAGTTCCTGTTGATGTGCTACCCTCACCTGACATTTTTTTTATACTTGCACGAGGCAGACACAGCAGACGCTCCATCGCGTGACGCTACTTCCACTCACCAGATGCGTTTCATTGACACTCGCCACTCAGCCATGTGCTCTAGGGCTGGACAAGGAGGCATCAGAGGTGAAACTACACCGTCCTAAATCGGCAGCCAGTGCACCGCCGATTACGATTTTTGAGGCGGTCCTGGTCTTTTTTTTTTTGCCCATAGGTCAAGGTTGTAAACACAGCTCGTATTCAATCCCATAGTCTCCTGGAATGCTAATGGTCAGAACGAAGCCTGCATGGATGCTGCACGACAATAATAATTTGAGTAATTGCTGTGACCGACTGACATGCCTAATGGATAAAGAGTGCTTTCGTGCACAGTACAGTCTAGGTACACAATTTACAAAGGTGACGGCTGCTGGAACGTGCCGACTTTGTGAGACTCCCAAGCTCAACGCGCTTGAAAGGAGCCGAGAGGATCAATCCAGCCGGTGGCTCAGCGGTACAATGGGCCCTGGCTTGAGGTTGACTCAACCCATTCGACGAACTCCGAGTAGATAAAACGTGCAACGCTTTGTGCGGAAGACAACGGTGTTTGTCCCTGCGGATAGACTCGGCCCCAGCCCAGGGAAGATGGAACGTCTACCACTGGCCCATTTCAGGGCTGTAAACAGGGGACGAGTCCTACCTCAATGCTAATTTTGGCAAGAAATCCCTTTGAATGTAGCAGTATGCCAAGTGGGTTAATTCAACTGTTTCTGCACACAACGCATGTTTTTGCAATAACACGGTTCTTCCGAGGGAACGCTGTTTCACGCAGCGGGGAACGTGCAGCATTTTAACGCCGTTTCTTAACGGTCAACAACTAACTAACTACTTTGAGCTGAGCATTGTGGGAATTCTGGGTAGATTCGCGAAATGATACGGTACGCGGTGTACTTTCATCTCGATTCTTTATCCTGCCATGGGATGACTGCAGACCGATTATAATTACCGATCGTGCAAATGTGATTCGGTACCAGGAATTCGCCGGCTAACGTGGTTTTCCGCTCCTTGCAGCTCCTGTTCAGAAACGCATCGACCACGTCACCAATGAGGAACTACTGCACTTTCCTCCACTGCCCACGATGTAGCTGCTCTTAATGGGAAAGTAATGTCGTCAGCCATCAAAGCACTATGCAGGCTCACTCCTGCTTAGCGTTGGAGATCCGGTGCATTTACGGCTGATTTGGTCATACAAAGGCCTTCGGTGCAAGTATGAAATAATGATTACAAACAGGTGAATAACCAGTGTCTGGAGCTACTCGTGCAGGGACCACCTCATCGCCCTGCGGGTGCGAGTATCTCGCGCACAAAGGCTCCTTGTCTCCATGCCACGGGATCGCGGCGGCGGTGTGGCACGCGCCAAATCGCTCCCGCTCACCGTGGTCGTGGGCGAAGGCGAAATAGCCGAGCGCGGAGAGACGAGACGCGATCTCGTCGTAGCGGCGGCAGTGCTCGCCAGCTCCGTGAATCACGTGCACCAGCCCCCTGCAACAACACCACCGCCACCGTCACCGCCACGAACCGTCACCGCCACCAAAGTCCGCACCTCCGATTTTAGAACGGTGCCGAAGAGGTTCAATGTACATACAGAGTCACCGCCAATATCATTGCCACTGCTGCCAGAACATCACCACCACTGTCAGTACCACCACGACCCACTGTTACCACCACCAACCAGCCAATGTCAGCACCATCACAACAACATCTCCCTTATCTCCTTTGTCCTACGTGCTGTCGGTTTCTCTAACGTAAATCACTAAATATGCCTCCTTGCTCCAGAAAACACATGGGCTTCCCACTGGATTGTACAGGGGTTTATATTTTTAGGTTTTTTCGGTAAAGTCACGTAGGTAAAAATTTTAAATTAATAAAAGTAAAATAAAAATAAATAAAAAATCACGACGTTTCGGAGGCAACACAAGCTTCCGTTTTCAGGTGGAACTGTCACAGCACGATAGCTGTATCAAGTAAGAGATACAGTAAGAGATAGAGCAATCGTGCTGTGACGGTTACACCTGAAGACAGAAGCTTGTGTTGCCTCCGAAACGTCGTGATTTTTTTTATTTTTATTTTATTCATTTAAATTTTTTACCTACGTGACTTTACCGAAAAAACCTAAGAATATGAATCCTTGCAGTCACGAAAGCTTCAAATCTAGAATTGTATACAGGGGTCTCGGATGCGGTTGAATGCAGATGCTATACAAGTGTAAACTGTGTCGTGCTGTGGAGGTACAATACGAGCCAGCGCACTTTGTCTGGGCGATCTGCCACACCGCTGGTATCAGGCATTAGGCAGGCTGCTGAATTCTCACTATTTGCCGTCTTGGTGACGCTTTTAGCCAAAGTATTTCGAAAATATTTTCGGTAAACAATCGCCAAAACGTGACTCGGGTCATATGAGCCACCGATCACCAGCGCAGGAATGTACGTACGTAAGTCAAACGTCTTTTGCACCGTACGTAGCCAAACGCGTTAAATTCGAAGATGAACGCCTTCTCCCACCTCACCCCTCTGCCTGGCCGGGTGAAGAGTGACGGCGCTCGCAGGGATGCCACCGGGGCATCAACAGCCGAAGGCGTCAGCGACGATCGCCTGATCGAACGTGGCCATTCGACCAGGCAGGCGACGCCGTAGGTGGAGTCAAATGTGTCATTCACGTCTCCCTCTTGGTTGTCCCTTCGAGGTGCGTGGTTTTTCGTGGTTTGGATTTCCCATTCTTACACTCGGGCTCTCCTGTCCTGTGTGTTTGTATTGTGACGTGCTGACCCACCCCTGCTGGGCATCGATGAAAAGGAGCGTTGTCGTTCATCGGATTCGTCCAGCGTAAATCAATGCTGCCTTTTGTTCTTCTAAACCAGGCGTCGGCAACCTACGGCTCCGGAGCCGCATGCGGCTCTTTACGGGCTGCTTCTTGACGATATGTACGTATGTACAGTATGTACTCAGATGCATTGCGGCTCTTGAAATACTGAATTTTGTACCGAATTGGAAAGAAATGGCTCTTTTTGTTATTTTGGTTGCCGACCCCTGTTCTATACAATGCACCAAATGCGTTCTTACTCGGTGCAACTGGGTTGCAATCTCAACGAGCAGGATGGAATTAGCCCAAAAGACCCCAATGAAATGTCAAATGTGAACCGATGCAAAAAACGGATTCGGGCTCTTAGGTTATTTCGGTAAAGTCACGTAGGTAAAATAATAATAAAATAAAATAAGAATAAAACAATAATGATATAAAATAATAATATTATTATTTTACCTACGTGACTTTACCGAAAGAACCTAAGAGTATGAATCGTTGCAGTCACGAAAGCTTCAAATCTAGTATAAACGAATTCGGGCCTGCTAACAGAGATGTGGCACCTTCCCCGCGCTCATTCAAGCAGGAAGCCCCCTGAACTCGTGACTCGCATTCGTCTGCATCACAGCACGCCTCCCACGCAGCACATCTGACCCCTTCGCAAACCGCTCGGCACGCGAGAGACACTCGCCACTGATTAATGAATTGGTTGAGTAAAGGCCTAACCATGTTTGTCATTGACTCAAGGTCTAGGTCGCTGTGACGTCACCCCGCCTTTTGGGTGGTGTTCACTCACCAATGGAATGACATTCCCGTGAAGGTTGTCCCCAAATTCCGATTTCCTGTACAGTATAACTATTGTTCTCAATGTCCTTATCTTAATGAACAGACGCTCACCGAGATTCACGAGCGTATGTAGGAGAGGCCTTGATCAATGTGCCCGTAGTTATTTTAAAATCTGACATTTTAGACACCTTCATATTACTCTTGAATATCAGGTGACTTGGGGTTTAATGTCTGTAGCAGACAACGAGGGTTTGATAACTTCCTGAATGCATTACAAAGTGGCAGCTGGATTTGAGTTATCATGTCAAGACAAATTGGCTCTAGTAGGCAGTTTATACACTTGCTGGGTGACTTCACACACACACACTATAGTGACTATGGTATTACACGTATACGCACACTGTGCCTTGATTTTAAATCTGTCAGCAAATGTGCCGAGCTCATTAGATCTTGGGGAAAAAAGGAAGGCTGAGCCTGGAGAGTGCTTGTATAGTTTGACCACATTGCACAGAAGGTGTTAATAACCAGCACGTGGGATTAGGTAGGGCGTGGGCATAAGAGGGCAGTACAAAATCAGTGTTGTACTCTACTTCTATGCCTCCACACCTGTGGCCCCTTCAGCTACACGTGTTAACGAGGGTGAAGTATGGTCAAATAACCCCCATGATGGGGACTGTGGGTGGGTGGGGACAACTCACTCAGCAGTGGATCAACAAAGGGCACTCCGTAGACCGGGAGGCCCCTAAGCCCGACGGCTAGAATGCTGTCAAGAGTGACCCTCAAGAGGTTGCGTGTCAACTTTGCGACAATCATGAAATCTGGCAGAAGGAAGGAAGCGATGGTGAGGTGTGGGGCCGCAAACGCCACTGGCTATACGTACACGATGACCTTTTGACCTTAAAGGGAATGTTGTTTTGTTAAACTTCTCAGTGTAACTGATAGGAGGGTATTATCCCGATGTACAAAACAGTTTTCCGGCCGCTGTGAAGTTTCAGAATGACACTGCGCAGACAAAACAGAGCAACACCCAATAGGTTCCTCCTTGCCAAGGCAGCCGCGTGCCCTTTTTTTTGGCCTCAGCGGCGAACGGGAGCAGAGGCGCAGATCACCATTCCCCCGCGCTCACCTGGGCTTGCCTTGGGTTGGCCTCCAGTAGCGGCAGTAGATGGAAAGGCCATCGGCGTTCGTGATGTGGTCCGTCTCTCCGTCGGGTAAATTCTCATCTCCTGCGGGCGAGGCCTGGCTATGGCCACCCTTGCTCATACTTAACGGCGACGAGCGGAGTCAATGGGAAATCCACACGGGGCAACAGCAGCAGCAGATGGCTAGAACTGGAACACAGAGTTAAGAAACACTTTAGCGTACTATATTTAACTTTGATAGTAACAAAAAAAATCCACTGTTCGACTGTGCTGCAATGTCTTCAAGTCGCACTGCGACCTGCACGGGAAGGTCATCGTGCAGCAGTGGATTGACAAAAAAAACAATCTGCATGTACAAGTATTTGTGTTCGACATCGTTTCACAGTTGTACTCTTGCCACGAGGACAAGGGAAGTGGCGGTTGCAAGACATATTGAGAAATAACGGAGCATCGTGCCTTGTTGAGAAGCTGCCATGAAAGATTTACAGTACCACGCATCAATTACATTTCAGGAAGCACTTTTTGTGGTTTAAAGCACACGCTAAACATATTCCACAACGCTGCCCTGCGAACAAAACACTGAAATACTGAGAAATGAAAGAACGTATTGCTATCTACTCTTGGCGATTCATGAAATGGACCTTCTGACATCACAGTTGCAGACATTGCGTTAGTATTTACTGAAAAAATGCAAGCGTGACCCAGGACCCAGGTCACGCTTGCAAAATGAGACTCATCCTGCGATAAAGTGCTCGCCCGGTTCGACGCAATAAACCTTAAACTCTTCGACTTTCTCCACAACCGTTTTTTTCAGCTAACCAGAGATGCAATTGATTCCGTCTATAACCCAATACGCACAACAACTGGAATGTATTAGATCGTTGTCCTGTCTCATATCCGACTCGCCGGGCACTGAGGCATCGGCAGATATGTGCAAAGGTCGGTTATCTGCTAGAAGGTTCCAGTTATCCGACGCACGTATTATAAATAGTACAGTGAGTGCAGGCCTCTCTCTCTCTCTATGCCGTGTCGGTCATGAGGATTGTCTGACCTAAACTTCCCCCCGCACCTCCGAGTAGCGCTGTTGGCTACGTACGGTGCGAAAGAAGCTCAACATACAGAACGTCAGGTTGGTAAAAAATTAACCCGTGAAAACAAAGTTTTCACTATAAATCCTTTATATGCGTGGCATCGGTTTTATTTTATTATTCATTTCGGTTTTTCTTGAGAAAGAGTTTCATTTTTATCACATTGGTATTTTAAATTAAATATGAAATTTTTTTTTCCTAAAAAGTGGAAAATTTAGAAAAAAAATTTTCACGAAAATAAATTGTCACGCACAACGAGTCTGTGTGCAAAATGTCAGCTCGATTGGATCACTAGAAGTGGGTTAAAAAACAACCGAAAGATTTGCACGGGCGTAAGCACGCAAGCAAGCAAGCAAGTGAACTTAATATAAAGGATTTAAAAAGGAAGTGCGCCTCCCAGGATTGGTTCAGCTATCAATTGCCGCTGACGCTGTCCATGGCTGGGAATTGAACTCAGGTCACCGGATTCATAGCAAATTGTGCTAACCACTGCATTGACGTAGCTATAACGCGACGGCGTATCATTGGTATTTGACACTAAACGGTCCTAATACCACACAGAGATGGGTTTAACTTAGCCGAGGCTCCCTGCATCTGCCAACAATGCACTCGCAAATAATAAGCAACACGCATGCAGGTCTACAGACCAATACACAGTACTGCATTACAAGTGATACTACACAATAACCCTATCACGAATACTGTTATGTTCATCTTTTTGCATCAGAGTTTAAATTCACAAACACTGTGTATCCATGGATGACTGGATATCGGGATGGTGTCACATTGTAATGGATAGCACACTGGACTTACGATCCAAATTTGTAAAATAATGGGCACTTTTCCCAAATCTGCCCGATCTATCCAGCAGCATGCATGGTGGGGTAAAGCGTGGGTTACTCTAAATTTCTTTCAATACGTCTGTCAGCGTGGAAGAGTAGGCCAACTGCCTTCTTCACGGACCCTTCTATAGCTCCCTCTAGTAGAGGGCCTTCTGCATGCAGTGGCACAAGCAAGCAATTGCAGAGCTGCGCTTCTATCCTGTTGTAACTGGATGCGAAACCACATCACCCGATGCTACAATGGTTATTTTGTCATGTCTAATACTTGATATGTTTGTTTGAACCCTTCGGCCAGCCGTGCTAATCGGCGGTGCGTACCAAGGCAAGATGTTAAATTAAGCACGCTGCAAGCTGTACAATAAAATACATTCCATAACGCAGCATACTCTATTTACCAGCATGACACACACACACACGTGCCAAATCCGACCAGGCTCCGAGTAAACATTTCCGACGTTGAGTCAACGTTGGCCTTTTAAACCTTGGCGGGTGTTCACTGGGGTGGCGGTGTGTTGAAGCCAGTTGATTTTAATCGCTTACCGATTTTTCGAAGGGGGAGGGGGGATGAAGTTGCTGACGTTTGTGTGTTTCTTTAAAAAACAAAAAAAAACCTCGTGCGAAGTGACCCGATTATTAATCTCTGAAAAAAAAAACCCCTCCCGGCAAACCACCACCTCGATCGGTACGGGTGACAAGGAGGTGCAGATGTCACGAAGTCCATCAGAGATGACATCGTACAACAACGCATCGCAAGCCAGGCGCAACGTTCACGCCATACAAACTACAAGACGGCAAACACAAACAGGCGGCAGTAGTATTGTCAGAGCACGCAAGTGTTGATGCTTCGACTTACGTTATCGCGGGGCTAAAGAGCGAGTCGCATGCGCAGACGAGAAAGCTCTTGGGTTGTTGACCTTGGTCAAGACTCGTGAAGATGAGAGAGACCACCGTGGGACAGACACACCCACGTTCGGCACAGCAGCACACTGAGTGAGCCGCCTCTTCTGAAAGCACTTTCAGTGGCCATCCATTACGTCACCAGCCCCACACCCACTCGACTCGCACACACTCGAGCCTTGTCTGACGACGCACGTGCAGCGCCATGCAAACAGCCAGACACCCACCCACCAACTCACCCACCCACCCACCAACACACACACCCCCGACCCACCAACACACTCACCCCCGACCCACCAACACACCACCCACCAACTCACCCCCGACCCACTAACTCACCCTCAACCCACCAACTCACCACCAACCAACTCACCACCCACCAACCAACTCACCCACCCACCAACTCACCCCTGCACCCACCAACACACCCCTCCACCCACCAACACCCCCCCACCCACCAACACATCCCCCACCAACTCACCCACCCACCAACACACCCCCCACCCACCAACACACACTCACCCAGCCACCCACCAACACACCCCCACCCACCAACACATCCCCCACTCACCAACACACACTCACCCACCCACAACACACACTCACCCAGCCACCCACCAATACACCCACCAACACATCTTTCACCCCCCCCCCCCACCAATACACGCACCAACTTACCCCGCCCCTCCACCAATACACGCCCTCTCATGCATTCGGCCAGAAAACCCAATTTATGCGGCACCGCTTATTTTCCACTTGTCAATCAAACCCGTGAATAGATTCAAGTTGAATGCGTGGGGAGGAGGGGAGGATGCCAGCACTGCGTGAATGCACAGCAGCCGATTACCAAAGTGTGTGCTGTGCAGAAGGCCCATTGTCCGAAACGTCACCGCTAATATTTATTTGAAGGCAGCGTTGTTGACGAACGAGTTTTTTTGAATCACCATCTTGTCTCTTTTCACCGCCAAAGTGTATCTTGGCATCAGACAGTGACACTGAAAGCGATCATTCTGGACAAAGGATTTTAATCTTATTGAAACATAAATTAGTCCCCCCCCCCCCGCCTTGAACCGCTGTGTTAACAGCGTCATTGATATATTTGTGACGTGTTCAGACGCACGTGCTATTGTTTTTATTGCAAGGCAACTTGTAAAGTGGTAGAAGCGCAACCCTGCAATTGCTCACTTACTCCACACTGCTTTGTAGAAGGCCCTCCACTCGGAGGAGCTCTATGAAACCACCCCAAATCGTATTTGGCCTACTCTCCCACGCTTGCCAGACGTCTTGAAAGAGTTGGGAGTCCCCAACACTTTTACCCCGCCACACAGGACCCTGCCTGTCGACTATGGTTTACCCGTGTCTTGCCGTGCTGGGGGATCGAACCTAGCAGACTCTGGATTGCAGGTCAAGTGAGCTAATAACCATTACACCACTCAACAGCAGCAACATCAAATAGCAGCAAACATTTGGACGATAGCTCACATTTAATTTGTACGCAGACCAACCCATTCAGTTGCGTTTAACCTGAAGCACACGTTGTGCTTAATACGTCTACCAGTTACATTCACGTGCAATTTTTTTAATGATAAAATATAGTATTGTCATCAGTACTATATACCAAGTATACCAAGTTTGCAGTCGATACCACATTAGGAAGTGGGTAAAAATTTAGTTTCAAGATTTGAGGATACAACAACAATAACGACAACAACGACAACAACAACAGACAGAGTGAGTTAAAAGAAAGCGTGTAAAATTCGAATAATCGAGAGTATTCTATATGAATAAAGCGCTCTACCTAGCATGTACCGTTATAAACCTTGTCCATGTGTAGTAGTTCCCTAGTAATTACCCTGTAATCGGGTGCTTTGTATGGGGTAAGGGTAAAGGTAGGGTAAAGGTAAGCTCGTTGCTCTTTACCTTTTACCTTACCTGCTAAAGGGTAAAAGGTAGGGTAGAGTGATTGTATTGTGGTAAGGTAAAAGGTAGGGTAAAGGTAGGCTCGTTGTTTTTACCTTTTAACTTACCTTGCCGAGGCATACTTAATACGTATAACAGTTACATTCACGTGCAATTCGCATGAAGGCACTCTACTCTTCGGCCTGCCATCATATTTGATGTGTATCTACTAATCACGTGAATGCCAGTGGGTTTGTGCTCGGAAGTTATTAATCCGCGGGTGCTCTGTCACATGGCAATATGTTTAATGTGTTCCATCTTATCAGGCTGAGTTTATCTTACACTCGGCCAGACGCACTTCCAATGATTCTTCTTACTATATGAAGGCTCTATGAAGAGTTACGACTGCATTCGCTCTGCCTGTCACAGCGCCGGCCTACAGCTGATGGTACAAGTCGCAGGGGAACACACGCAGGGGTGAATTAAAAAACAAGTATAACCCGTAAAAACTAAGTTTTCACTATAAATCCTTTATATGCGTGGCGGCTAGAGTCCTCTCGTCCTCTGGCTTGAGATGGCTGCCACCTATGGGTCAGATGATTGCATTGCACCATTAAGCAATTGGTAATTAAATATAATATTTTTGTCCTAAAAAGTGTAAAATTTTGGAATTTTTTTCACGAACATTAATTGTCACGCACAACGAGTCTGTGTGGAAAATGTCAGCTCGATTGGATCACGGGAAGTGGGTTAAAAAACGACCGAAAGATTTGCACGGTCCTAAGCAAGCAAGCGAACTTAATATAAATGATTTAAATAAACAAGTAGCGTCGCATCCCCCATACACCTGTCTCTCCACGTACAACGTTCAAAGTATTTCTTACGCGATCCATTGGCCGTACGGTCATCGGGCAGTGCATGTCCGAATCGCTTACTTCAGGACAAGCAGACTCATGGACTAGTTTCAACAGTGGTATCGTCAGTAAGGACCAGGCTTGCTTTCATCAGTGCATAATAAGTATGCATATTAAATCATCTGAATGAAATGTGGAGGAGGGATTGTGTCTGGTTCACGAGGCGTGGCATTGCAACTTTTTTTTAAGTTAAACGACATTCTCTTGGTTCTTTCGGTAAAGTCACGTAGAAGGGAAATAATACAAAAATAAAAATAGAACTTAATAAAATCATTCTCACGACGTTTCGGCCACAACGCAAGCAGCCGTCCTCAGGTGAAGAACAGGTCTGTCGGGAAGACAGCGTCTGAATGAAACACCCCAGGCTTGGAGCGTATATTTAAGCTGGGTTGGAGGAGGAAGAGCGCCTTGACAAAATAATTTGCATATCAAGAAGAATTTAGCATATTTATTGGAAATGCAGATATGGGATTACTCACTACTTGTGGAATGCGTAGGAGGTGGGTGGGGGGTTTCAAAGTCATAGTATGCCCGTGCATTATGCAGGATTAGCAGCATCAAAGGGAGGGGATAGGGGTAGCATTAATAAAGGGAAGGAATGCTAATAGTATGTAGCTGCAGTAATTAAACCACCACGTAGGCGCTCTTCCCCCTCCAAACATAATACAATAAAATTATTATGTATTTTTTTTATATTTTATTATTTCCCTTCTACGTGACTTTACCGAAAGAACCAAGAAGATGAATCCCTGCAGACACGAAAGCTTTGAATCGATATTTAAACGACTTTGGCGAGAAATGGAAAAGACAGCATGAAGGGGAAGGGTGTCACTTAGTCTCATGGCCATGAACGCATGGACGAATAGGTAGCGATCAGCTGGGACCTGTGCGTTCAAGGGCAAACTCTCAACACATTGCCCCACAGTGACCCTTGCTTATCGACCCGTACTGTACGTGCAGGGATAAAAGGGCCGTCCATAAATTACGTCACGCACCTAGGGGGGCGGGAGTCAGACATTTGTGTGACGATGTGTGACGAGGGGGGTGGGTGTTTGAGAAATGTGGCGTCACATCAAAATGCGATACTTTAAATCAATATAGACAACACGTTCTACTTAATTACATAGACTTTTTAATAAATGTTTTCTCCTACAACATCAGAGTGCAGCGCCACATTAAATACGCACTACAATGACAATAGTTTAAAGCGATTTGAAGCGTGTTTTATTTGGGGGGGGGCAGAGCTTTGTGACGTCATATTTGAGGGGTGGTCTGACTTTTTGTGACGTCGTGTGACGAAGGGGGGGGGGGTCAAAAATCGTCCAAAATCCCGTGACGTCATTTATGGACGGCTCCTTTAAACAACAAAAAAATCGGCATTGAATCTGAGCACTGCGCGAGCCTTAAACAGCCAGTTTCTTCACTCAGAACTCGTCTGAATTCGCTTGTACAGGACACCAAGCACTGCACACACACACACACGATCTGTTCACCGCATAGCCCAGTGCGCATGGAACACGTTGGAGCCAATGACGGGAAGGTCCAAAGATTCTAAAGCACGTGCCAACGAATGTTGGGGGCAACGTTGGCATGTTTACTGGGGCGCTGTGCATGGGGAAGTGAAACTGCACGCGGAAATGGAAACTCTCGTGAAGGTTGAACAAAAATAAACTCCTTTAAAAAATATTTTTTCTAAAACAACGGTTTTATTTTATACTCTTAGGTTTTGTCGGTAAAGTCACGTAGGTAAAAAATAAAATTAAAATTAATAAAAGTCATAATAGAAATAAAATAATATTATAATAATATAGTAATAATATAATAAATCACTTTATTTTTAAGTGCACTAAAGAGTAAATAAGTCGATTGGACAACGGGAAATGGTCGACCGCCTGCTGCTTGGGCGAGGCGATTGCAGAGTTTCGGGACCGCGGCGTTTTTGACCTACAAAAATAAATATTTAATTAATAAGCCGTCCATACAAATTGTTAATTGCTTTAAAAGAGCCAATTAATTAAATAGTTGATGCCGATTTTGATTCAGGCATGCAATGTCACCGGATCT